TTCACTGGTTTCATGTGAACGGAAGGCCGATTCGTAAAAAAAAAACTATGCGATCTCAAAAGTGTCCGGATTCGTGTTGATTTACTAATCAAATCACTGAATGCCACCACCAAAACATGTTCGCAGCCTACTTAGTTTTAGCCCTACGCAGCATGGTTGTTTTGTGGGGCGCACTTATGAGCGGCAAAGCAAAAGCGCGCGCGAACGAGCGGCGAAGACGCGAGAAAAATAAAAATCGTCCCAATCTCCTCTTAGTTACCAAAAGCGCCATGCTACACAGTAACGCAGTCTAACTTAGTTTAGAATTCAAGTCTGGTAAAATCAAGCTGAATCAGTCGAGAATCTTCGAAGCGATTCTTTGTTGTTACACGCATCTGCCTTTACGCTGGGTCAGTACCAGTTTAACAGTGTATAATTAGCATTAACGGATAAGCCTTCAGGCGTACTGGATACTCTGGAAACTAATAATTTTCAATTATTTTAATTAACATCAAAGTGTTTGTAGAATTTTTCATCTCACTTTTTTATCTATTCTCCGAAGTGCTAGAACTGACATGAGTGGTGATGACTAACTGAATTATAGTAGCCAAAGAAGTTGAGCAGTCAACCGAAATTTCTAACAGCAATTCAAAACTTATATAGACCAACTTGATAACAGACATGGCAGAAGACAAAATCTGAATATATGGATGCCACGACACCTTGAATGAACCCTTAATGAATTCTACAGGTGGCGAGGAGAAAGAGCCACCAACAAGGAGCTTCTCTTTTAATATAAAATTTTTTGTGTATGTTGACGGAGACGGTGTTGTCAGTATTTTATTCGTTTTCTTTTCTCCTTTGAACGTAGAACATGGCCTGTTTCGGGAAAAATCTTGTGATGTTTGAATAAAATGATCATGGAACACTGTTTAGTATCGTTAACTTAAACCCCGTTATATTCGTTCACGTCCAAAATGCTAAAAACAAACTGATATTGCTAAATAGTTTAGGATAAATTTCGCCTGTCTTTAGGAAAAATATAATGTAAAAGCTGGTGTCTATTCAGCCGTATCATGTCATTTTCCAGAAACATCGACGTGTAACAGCAAAGAAATGCCTATTTTAAACTCAGACTTTGTTTTATTCTCGGTAAAAAACTCGAACGGAGATTCAAATGAGACACATGTTGAATGGAATCTGAGGCGAAGATGAGAATGATTTTTAGTATATGCCGTTCCTAAATTATCTGGACTTAAACCATGGTGTGCGAGACTGGCCGAAAGCGTCAGAAGTTTTTACTCTGCGTTCATTTGTGCGACGAGACTTAAACCATGCAGTTCACTACGAAAATCTGTTTTGTGTATGCGCTACATTTTTTTCGTTGGTGTAATGATGAACTACTTTCTTTCCTCCTTTCCATAGTGGCAAAGCTTTATTACACTGTATTCAACACAGAACAGCCTCGTCCGGTTTCGGGATTGCCTGCCGGTGCAAAATAAACAGATTCTTGATTGACACGATGAAGATAGACAATGAAAGTTTCGTAACATTTATTGCTTCTAGCATTTTCTCTTCTTAGTTTCCGTTACTCTAATGATCAATGTTTTTCTTCTCGCAAGGTTGAAGTATTATTAAATTGACCTAATTTTCAACTCTTCGTTCAACTCTGCATTTAATGAAAATTAAACAGTTCATGATAGAAATGAACTGTTTTGATTCATGTGCTTTGCCTTCTTTTTTATTGTATTAGATGAACCAATCTTCCTCCTCCATGCCTGAAAATCAGGACTAAAAAAAGTTACTCACACTCTATTAGAGAATGTCGGACCTTTTTTGGAACTTAGGGGCCACACACTCTTTCCCGTGGAGCGCCCAAGTGATAGATTTTTCAGACTGTGCTGGACGTATGACAATTTAATTCAGCGCTGCTAAAATTTGTTTGGTTTCTGCTTTACTCTAATGTTAAAATAAAATGAGCAAATTGTGAAATCTAGATTCAGTTTTCGTACCACGAGCCTCGATTCTCTGAAATTAAGTTATAGAATAAATTCACTGGAGAAATGTGACTCCACTCGTTCTTTGTTAGCGAAGAAACATCTGTTCCTCCGACTAATGTGAAAGTTTGTGCTATAAGATATATTATTTAAGAAAAAGGTAATTTGTTTTGAGATAAACACAGGAATTTTNTTTACTCTAATGTTAAAATAAAATGAGCAAATTGTGAAATCTAGATTCAGTTTTCGTACCACGAGCCTCGATTCTCTGAAATTAAGTTATAGAATAAATTCACTGGAGAAATGTGACTCCACTCGTTCTTTGTTAGCTAAGAAACATCTGTTCCTCCGACTAATGTGAAAGTTTATGCTACAAGATATATTATTTAAGAAAAAGGTAATTTGTTTTGAGATAAACACAGGAATTTTTAGCTCTTTTTCACCCTGGGTTGTCTCTTTGAATTGCCATTTATACAGTCATTTCCCAGCCAAAACATTCGGAATATCGCAATTCATTGTTTAGTGAGTGTTCACTGGCCATGAGGAAACCTTTCCTTTAAAAAAGCCAATTATGTTTGGCCTTCTCTGGTAAGTAAAAATCAGTCAACCACTATTGCAAAGATCTTAAAAAATTCGCATTGAATTCGATTATAATCCTAACTTGTCATACATCACCAACCTCTTTTACGAGCGCAGAAGATTCCGCGGCGTTGGTATGCCAGTAAAATCCAGGGAGAGAAAAGACAGTAATTCACATCTTGTTAGCAACTTCTTACACCAGAAAACATCTATAAATAAGCACCTATCTGTCAATCATGTTTAAATGGCTTCTATGTTCAAGTTTATTCAGCCTTTTCAATTAACAGGTAATCGGGGGAGACAGACACTCCGTGTAACAGACACAGTGTGTACTCCAACTTGATGATGAATCGCATTGGGCAGAACAACAGTGTAACAGTTATCTATTTCGCAATAATTTGATTTCTGATCTGAATACGGATGAATTTGTGGCCAAAAAAGCAATTTTAACTGTAATAGTTAGATCTGCAAATAAGCGGGATCAGTTGCATGTTTGGGTCTAAAAGTGGAAAGTAGCTTACGAAACGTAGCCCATGCACCAAAAACCAAATTTGTAGCATCCTCGGAATCAAGGACGAATCTCAAAAAGTTAGAAAAGTCTCCATTCTAAATAAGGAATATAATTTAAAGTTAGCAGCAACACAACTACCTGTTGACTGAGTGCTTATTAAATTCGACCAGCCCGCTCCTGCTTTGTATTGACAATAACTCAGGAAAAGTAGTCAAGCAGTCTTAAAGCAACGTTGAGCGGACGTAAACACGTGCTTTTTTTTTTAGTTTGTGGAGCTGAAATCATATGTTTAAAAAACTCTTACACAAGAAAATGGTCAAGCCGTCACACCAAATGAGGCCCTACGACTTCCTTGCGAGGATGAACAAAAGAGCGAAAAGCCAGATGGAACGATTTTTTTTTCGCGTTCACGCACGTGTTGCAAATTAGTGATGGAGTTTATTGTTCGCTGAACTCTCCTTTCAAGTCGGAGCAGCCCTGATTTCTCATCAACATTTATATCTTTTTACTTTCAAGAATTTCACAATCGGAAATTCGCTTGTGCTGCTGTGTTCAACGACTCGGTCGAGTAAATGGACGAGTGAAAGGACACAGCACTAGTATGAATGCATCTCTTTGTGATTTCCCTGCTTTGAAATGAGTGCCTAAATTGGTTTTTTATGAAAAGAAACCGCTTGTGTGGTATATCATTTTTTTTTTCTGTGAAAGACAAAGCGTTCACTTAGCTAAATAATTTATGCGGTTTTGCTTTGACAAATGAGCTAATTTTCAATCAAGGTAAAACCCAAACGCATTCTTCCAATGTCAACTGTATGAATATAGGCACCCTTTATTTACAATCTGTCGCGACACATTTAGCAGGTATCTTGGCAGAACGCAAAATGTCGTGTACAAGGCCAATATTCGGCCAGAATATAGCCTTTTTCTGGAAACTCCTAGAAGCTTTGTTCAATTTGTTTGTTGGTTTCACGTTGCAACCTGCCTACTTAGATGTAGGGGCCCTCAAAACATGGAACATAAACTGAATTAATGTTCTAGGATCTATTCTCGGTCTGTCTTTCCTGAAATCTCACATCGTTTTTGAACTTCAAAAAGTGATCATGTAAAAGTAGGAACGGAAACAAGTTTTATCCTGCAAGCCTAATGATAGGCGGGGCTGCAAATTAAAGCCCTAGAACTTAACGTCGGCTTTCAGGCGAAAACAGACTGACTGTAAATTTTTTAAAACAGCTGAAAGTTAGCGTAAAGATCTTCAGCTTCTAATAAGGAGAATTTTGGATATTACTTTGAATGACTGATTTACGAATTTTTCAGGGGATAGGCCGCCCAAAGAGAAATTTTATGGAAAGTTGTTCTGGGTCATCATAACAGAATTATACTGCGTCGGCCACCAAACGGAAGCAAGACACCGGGGGGATGAAAGAGCACCGATTTTTTTATTATTATTCTTTGTTTTTGTTCCATTCGTTCCGGTTAAGTCGAGAGCCGTCCTTGAATTTTGCAACACATCAGAAAAATGACTGTGTACTTCAATCGAGGATGGTGAAAACGGTTCCGTCACAACGTATCCGATTCGACGTAAGTGACGTAATCCAAACCTTCGATTGACTCTTTTGTAGAAAGAAACCAACGTGCTAACACCGTTTTCTAGCTTGAACACAGTTGTCAATTTTGATATCACCACAAAATACCGTCTGTTACCAGTAAAACACTGTATCATCTACATGTAGCTAAGTTGAGTAGGCCAATTTTGCAATTAAGTTCCGGTTATGAAAAGTTTCTCCTTTGAAACCACCGCTTAATTTCCCTATGTGCTAACTCCATGGTTTTGTTTTTAATGTTATTTATAACCTTTAACATTTCTTCAGGTCCCTACGTAATGGAACATCCACTTACACTACAGTAAAATACAAGAGGATAAGCAAACAAAGGCTTTATTTCTGCCGTTTTGTTTTTACTTTAGGTACGGGTGCATTGGGGTTTTCTCCTTTATAAAACTCTTTTAATAAGTGGACAGCTGTGTTGGCTAAAATGAAGGGAACACATTCAAATGGCTTTCCAATCTTGCTTGATGGGACTTTACAAATGCACTCATGTGGCTTTTCTGACTCATCATAACTGACTTGAAGTGAGTTTTCTTTTTGGATATCGTTCACATGATTTATGGGATTAGAAAGCCTCTCTTGAGCAAAGTCAGGTGTAACATCAGTTTTATTCTTGCACGAGGCCTGGTCCATTAATTTCTCCTTACCACTGACACTGGAAAATCTTTGAAGAGATTCCACATTACATTTACTACATTGTGCCGTTTCCCCTCTTGGTGAAATGTCTTCTTGTACAAAATTTTGACATATATCCTTGGAATAATCATCGGTGTGGATGTTCAGGATTGAACCACATCCACCAAATCGTTCATTAGCACATCCAAATACTACTCTTGGAATTCCCACAAATCTCAGTGCTGCAGCGCACATAATACAGGGTTCAACAGTCACGTAAAGACAGCAGTCAAGCAACACATCTTCAAAACTAAGACAATTTGACATACACCAAGTCTTTACTTGATCAATGGCCACTAATTCTGCATGTCTTGTGGCATTCTTTGTTTCACTGACTTGGTTTCTTCCTGTACCAATAACTTGGTTCTGATACACTATCACACAGCCCACAGGTACTTCTCCTTGTTCAAGAGCATCTCTGGCCTTTAGGAAAAATTCAGTAAAGACCCACTAATCATCTACAGTCTCTCAGCTGATATCAGTGTCCTTGGGGGAAGGGGGGGGGATGGGGCGTTACTTCCCATAATGGCCTTTTAGGGGTGACTCCACCCAAAAGGGGTAACATTTTAAGGCTTCAGGTATATGAAAGTGTAGGGATTTCACTAGTTAAAGTATATGAAAGGGTTGTGAAATCTGTCATTTCATTCTGTAATGACCTAAAAGGGCCACAAAAGGATTTTATGGCTATAAAAATGTCAGTAAAATGTCTAGTTTTGTGATTTATTCATATTTAAAGGAAAGTGCATTTACAGCAGTTAAAAGGGATGTAAAGTTCTAAACAAGGTATGTGAAATGGGTACCGTCTTGTCAATGACAAGTATACAAAAGGGTGCCTTTTCTGTCAAAAAAGGTACAGTCGAACCTCCACTAAAGGCCACCTCCCCGCAACGGCTATTTTTTTGGTGAAAAATCCACACATTCAGTCTTGTTGCAACCTCTCACAACAGCCATCTCTCTATAATGGCCGGTAACTGGTCAAGTCGCCCGAAAGTCATCTCGCCTGAAGTCATATCGCCCAGAACCAGAGTCATGTCGCCCGAAATACATAGTCATGTCGCCCGAAATCCTAAGTCATGTCGCCCGCAATTTTATCGAGTGTATAAACTTGAAGAAAAGTAACATCTTAAGTAAATCGCAAGGAATAAACTAAGCCGCTCATTCTACAGTAAAGACTAAGCCGCTCATACTAAAGTAAAGATTCTAGTAATTATGTCGCCCGTAATTTTATCGAGTGTATAAACTCGAAGAAAAGTATCGCTGGTCATTCACTTCTATATACCATAACATCTTAAGTAAATTGCAAGGAATAAACTCTTAAAATTTTCACTCGCTAACCTATGCAAATACTAAGTTAAACAAAGACTCCACTGGCCACTAACTTCCTTCTGTCCCCAAGGTTGTAGAGAGGTTCAACTATATAAAAAAGGGTATAGGTTTGGATGTCAGGGTGGGACCTCCCAGTATAAAACTTAGTTGAGTACCCCCACCCCTTCCCTGGATATCAGTATGGCAGAGGGCAAAGAAGTGGCATTTTTCTTTCATTTGTGTCAACAGACAACAAATTAGAGATAAACCTGAATATGCCATTTCCGAGTTCCAGTGACTCCAACTTTCAACACGAGGCTTAGTGCAAAACCCTTTTAGAGAAAATGATTTTAATTTGCATAAGAACAGAAAATTATTTTCATATCAATAGCTTTGCACTTAGCCTCACTTTGAAACGGGGGCTTGGGGCAACTCGGAAACACAGGGCGCCCACACAACAGACTGAGAGCTCTTTCTTGATTCTATGGGTGGTGGTGCATGGCAGTTCTTAGTTGGTGGAGTGATTTGTCTGGTTAATTCCGTTAACGAATGAGTGGGGTTGTAATGTTTAAATTTAGAGAAAATGTATGGGAAGATCGAAAAGGTTCATATTTAAATAATATTATAACATAATGCGATGAATTTTTATATATTATTATGAGATCAAAATAAATGTCTTTTTATCTGAAATGTTGTGTATTGCCATTCTTGCAGCTGGAAATAATTTGAAGCGCTTTGCATTCAACGTTTACCTAAGCATATAGTAGAGAGACAAGGGAGGAAAACTCGGCGACCCCTAGTGCTAAACCGGTCCAGCTCTGAGCCGATTTTCACCAACAAATTCCCATCGCACAGATTCCAAAGAGTAGAGTAATTCAGCAACTGAAGCTCGATCGAGCTGTTCCTAAATTTTCGTGTGCCGGCCTGTAACAGTCACACCACTTGCCCCTTTCTGATATTTGGATGACCACAAACAATACCCATCCATAAAACATCCATAATACAGAAAGTCTCTATCAAAGCATGGTAGGTTTGTAAACGTGTAAAGTGAACGTTGATCGATCAATCGTGTTTACCATAACTCTAAGAAGCTAAACTTACTTGATGTGATTGTTCGTTGACTGGAAAGTACACCGCTGTTCATTTTGCTCTGTTTCCCTCCCACGGAATGCATCATATATATAAAAATTCATCGCATTATGTTACGATAATATGAACCTTCTCGATACATGATACATTTCCTCTAAATTTAAACATTACAACGGTCACACAGTTTGTGTGGGTTCCCTGTGCTTGGAAATGGCCCATTATTGCATAGGTACGACATTTAACTAAGAACTCCTCAAAGCTCGGATTTTCATTAATAGAGCTATTTATAGCGAATACGAAGAAAAAATCACTAAAGGGATCACAAACTGGAAGAATTAAGAGTTTCCAAAACCCATCCAACTAACGAGACTGTCAGGGGTTAACTTGAGTGGCACATCGAGTCTCGCGAGGGTTTGCGAAACACTTATTTTTAGTAAATTGGTACAAAGATGATTGTTTCCTACCAATCCTATAGCTTTTTTCATCCACGTTTCGTCGGCTTCGTCCGCCATCTCCGCCATCTTGTTTTTAATCTTCTGTCCCAGTACCTCACTGTTTGGGAAAGAGAGCTGGGTAGCCTAGCCTTGCTTCGAAACACGCGCGACTTCTGTCTTGTGGATGTAGTTCCTTGTTGTTTGAGGGCATGCTCTTCCTTTATTTCTGGGAAAGATAAACTTAGAATATTGTACCACGACTCCTCCATAAATCCTTTAGGGATTTAACCGCTCAACTGCAATGGCAACTGAAGAGGTTCGTTCTTCTGTTGAGTAGATTTCATACTTAATCTGTAAATCAGCTGATTTTGGTTGAATGGACTACCACGTGAAAGAATGAGTCAAAATTAGATGCAAAGAGAGTTAAAGCTAATGAAGTACCATCCAGGATTTTAATGCGCTAACAGTGTTTTTGCTAGCAACAGTACAGAACCCTTTTTACATGACTGTATTTATTATAACGGTTTTATTTATAACATGTAAGAGATTCCTACTAACTATTATGCCTAAACCAGTAAATTTGGTGATCCAGAGAACTGCAAGAGATTCAAATAGGCAATCAGACACAGTTTAATTCGTAATGTTTTTCCCTATAAAGATTCACACTTCTGGCTAGGAGCAGTGTAGGTGGGTCTGGCAGGGGGAGGGTGCAGGTTGGAGCCATGCACTGTAGGGAGAATAGTTGATTTCCCCTGTTACACCTGCTACCCACTATTTTAGGAAGATAAATGAACCTCTGCTTGCAATGGCTACATACTAAACTGGGTACGACCCCACCATGGTTTCACCCCTCCCAGGTCCTCTTCCTGTATAAATAAATCAATAATTGACTTCATCATTGGCCTTTTACTCCCTGAAGTGTTCCCCACTCAGTCCTATTACAATTCAGTTATTATTCTTCAATCTGAATGTTTACAGTTCAAATGCTTACAGCAATTTAGTTCTTTATGGCTCTAGAACTTACTTTTGATCCAAGTGGTCCTTAACCTTGCATTATTTGTTCAAGATTAGAAATATATGTAGCTAACAGTAATTTATCAGTGTGCAAAGAAAATCATTTTTACAGCTTGCCTTTCGGGCAAGCTGAAGCTAGCATTTACTAGCCCTGTCGTCATTTCAACTAGCCCCAAAAGATTTTTGACGAGCAGAATTGATTTCACAGTTCTTCTGTTATTCAAATTCCTCAAAAAACATAACCTGCCCATCAGGCAAGTTAAAAACAGAATTCACTAGCCCGGTAGCAAAATCCACTAGCCCCGGGCTATTGGACACTACTTTCTTTGCATGCTGTTTATTACATGGCTGGCTCCACAAGCAGACAAGTTGAAGCAAGCTTAGTATTCCGACTGGCTACGCAAGCAGAAAAATAGGCCTATCTTGCCTGTGTTTCCACAAAATAGAAGTTGGCCAAGATCCTTTGATTATTATCATTAACAAATGAATATCTTTAACACAATATCTTAATTTGATACAGGGAAACAAGCTTTGGGGTGGACGATTTTCTGGTAAAGTCGATCCAGAGATGGAAAAGTTTAATGCATCCATTGGTTTTGATAAAAGAATGTGGAAGGAAGACATAACGGTATCTGTAGTAGATATTGTTAAAAGCTTTATCCTAAGTCTTGAATGGTCAATGATCACAAAAATTGTGTCAGTAGCAAATTGCTTAAAATTATGATTGGTTCTTAACAGCCTATATTTATTGTTTTATATTTGCTATTTTAATTTTAACTTCAAAACTGTCAAACTTGATCTGTCTGATTACCAGGAGCTTGTTATCTTAGAGGTCAAATTGGACAGTTAAAAGCCTTAGAAAAAAGGAGGGAGAAATTTTATTAGTATGTACTAAAACAGCGGATAGTGTTTTTCACGCACCCTTGAAAATTGAAAAATTGTGGGGTATCCTTGAAAAGTCCTTTAAGTTGCCAAAGAAGTCCTTGAATATTTTTTAAAGTTCTTTGAATAAAAATAACCTGTTAAAAAAAAAGTGCCTGGCGCAAAGGAAACATTGAAAGCACAGCAGGATGCAAATTTTCTTGGTGATCATGAAAGTGTGTTTTCTTATGATTTCAATGTTCCTGGCATAGTTCATTTTCCGTTTTTTAAAGTACCCTAGGAACCGTGCCTTCCTGGGGGAAAGTATTGCAATAAGCAAACCTATGAATTTGAAAGGTCTTTACTTCATGTCATTCTATGTCAAATGACAGGGAAAAGAAGTCCTTGAAAAGTCCTTGAAAAGTCCTTGATCTTTCCCCCCAAAATTCTGTATGAACCATGACTCTGTTAAAAGGCCTGTTCAGTATTGTGAGTTGTACTTGATTAATCTGTGACATATAATTGTACAAAGTGTATTTATTCAAAATAATTAGTGAATGTTTCTTGTAAAAGGGAAGTGAGGCATATGTCAAGGCAATACAAAAGGTTGGTTTAGTCACCAGTGAAGAAATGACAGAAATCTTGCGTGGATTACAACAGGTCAGTTTGTACATTGTATTCTTTTTCAACTCCATCTGTATTTAAGGTGTACATTATACATGTAATACTCTAACAAAATAATACACTGCACAGTCTGGTTGGACAAATTATATGTATGGTCGTTGCAACAATAGTAAGGCAATCTTGGAGGGTACAGGATCTGGTGGGATGACTCAGGCCTTTCACCTTAATTAAGGAGGTATATACTGGCTGCTAATTTGACTGTTTTTGCAGAAAATATTCTGTTTATTTTGTGCTCATCCCATGAACATTTTTGGGTATTAGAGTTGTCCCAGCGGGAGGAGGGGGGGGAGGGGGTTGGCCTATAATGGCCTATACTGGGAGGCTCCACCTGAAAGGGGTAGCTTTTTTAGGCTTCAGGTAAATGAAAAGGTCTACTAGGGATTTTACCAGTTGAAGTGTATGTGAGGGGTGGGAATTAAGACAGTGCTTTTACAGCAGTTAAAAGGGATGAAAAACATCCTAATCTAGGTACATGAACGCTAGGGGTACCATTTGGACAAAAAAAAAGTTTTCTGTACATAAAGGTAAGGGGTTAGACCTCGGGTCGGAGCCTCCCTGTATAAAACTTTGTTGTGTGCATAACCCACCGCCCCCCCGGGTTGTCCTTAAACCAGCTGGACCATTGACAGATTAAGTACATAATTATGGTTCTGTTTAAGTGTAAACCTTTTTTGTTATTCATAGGTTAAAGAAGAGTGGGCAAGTGGTAATTTTGTCCTTCAACCATCAGATGAAGATATTCATACAGCAAATGAGAGGAGATTAAAGGTACTTTTAGTCCATTAATTAAACCCGCTAGAAGGTTGTTGGTTCCATTAGAGCGGTTTTCACTTGACTGTCGAAAGTAATTGAGGAATTGGTTTGGTGTTGGTTTTACTACGCCCTTTGGTTGGCTAGTGTATTTACTTTGGTTTTGGTTTTACGACAGTCAAGTGAAAACCGCTCTCTTATGGAGACTTTGTAATGATGAAGTTTCTGTTTTTGAGTTTGGCTGATTGCTTTGATTTGACAATTTAAATGATTTAACTTTATACTTGATAGCAAAACATTTGTACTTTCACATGGTTTTGTATGTTTTTTTTTTNCATACAGCAAATGAGAGGAGATTAAAGGTACTTTTAGTCCATTAATTAAACCCGCTAGAAGGTTGTTGGTTCCATTAGAGCGGTTTTCACTTGACTGTCGAAAGTAATTGAGGAATTGGTTTGGTGTTGGTTTTACTACGCCCTTTGGTTGGCTAGTGTATTTACTTTGGTTTTGGTTTTACGACAGTCAAGTGAAAACCGCTCTCTTATGGAGACTTTGTAATGATGAAGTTTCTGTTTTTGAGTTTGGCTGATTTCTTTGATTTGACAATTTAAATGATTTAACTTTATACTTGATAGCAAAACATTTGTACTTTCACATGGTTTTGTATTTTTTTTTTTTACTGTGGTACTTTTTAGATTTATTTGAAGGTAACTTATAAATGGCCTGCCCTTCCCAAAAAAACCCTCCTTTACATTGTACTCAGTATATAGCCCCTGTGTTATAAAGTAAATGATAATCTTTTAAGGACTTTTCTTCCTTGCAAGCTCAGTTAGATGAGTGCTAGTCTGTCGAGTGGGAAGTAGCGGATTCAATTGCCAGCTGGACCGCTACCCAGGGCCTTTATATAATACTAGCTGTGATTTAGGATCTTGTCTCAGTTCAGATGATTACATCATTGGGGGGTGATGTTAAGCCATTGGTCTTGTCTCCTTCATCCCTCTTTCATTAGTCAATGCGAAGGGTACTGAAAAGAACGGTGGTGAGGTGGTGAGTGGTGTGGTGTACCTCATTACACATGTCAGTCTTATCATGGGCTGGGTTGGTTGCTGTGGGCTCATAAATGGACTGAGAGCAGCTGCCAGTTGCTTTTTTGTATGCTGACGACTGAAGGTCCTGTTAACATGTTGATGCCGTATAATGTACATGTAAGAGGGCAGATCAGTTGTCCTCTAATCTATGCAATTCAAATGATAAGCCTTTTGCTTTTAATAAGATGCTAATACAAGCTTTCTCCGACTGCCATGTGTATCTGTTGTTCAATAATTCATGATTTAAATTTTTTTGCACAGGAAATTGTAGGAAATGTTGGTGGTAAACTTCATACTGGAAGGAGTAGAAATGATCAGGTACTTAGGTAGCTGAATTTGCAAACCAATTAAAATATTAGATGACTGTTTGCTTCAAGTTGGTGTCTCTTGAGCTGTGTCACTGTCGTGATACGCTAAAGTTAAATTGCGTTGTCGACCTAGTCTTCCCCAGATATCTACCCTTGCATATACAAATCATAAGAGATGACTGTGAGAAGAGTCAGAGGCAAACAAGCAAATGAATCAATTAGATCATGAGGTAACAACGTGTTTCCCTTGCCAAGTGTGGGCCCTTGAGAGAGCTTGCTCGTAGGCAAAGCGCGGGTACACTAATAGCAGGTACCCTCACCAAGCATGGGAAATTTACCAATTTAAGCCAAGTGTAGGGAAACGTAACTTGGC